TTAAAAAAAGTTTTTTTTTTTTTTTTTTTTGAGGAAATTAGTTTTGAAATAATATTTTTTGAAACATACGTAGTTAAAAAGTAGGACTATAAGCAAAAATCGCAAAATCGAAAAATCGAACCGAAATCGCATTTTAGAAACCGTCGCTTTGGTGTCACGTGGACCCGATCAACGAAATGGTTTTGACCCAAACCAAACCAATCAAAATGGTTTGGTTTAGGTTTGAGAATGTTAATTGCGGTTTAAAATCAAACCGGACCAGCGAAAAAATATATAAAAATAAAAAATAAAAAAATGAAAATTTTTGAAAATTCACTCAAATATGTAAAATTCAATAGTTTTGTTATTTGTGGGTATTTTTGTCAATTCCTGATTTTCTAATACAGATATATTATTATTATTATCATCATCATCATCATCATCCAATAATCCTAATATATATTTAATAATTTTAAGACTAACATAATCTATCAAAAGCATTTTTCCTCTTCAAAACTTAGATGGACTCTAGTCGACACCCAACACAATTTTAAGCCATCGGTATCACATACTTCTTTTCAGATTTTTCACACATCTTCAAAGTCGAATTAAAGTCCATTATATCAAATCGAAGACGAAAAGATTCTAGACTTTTGGTGATAATATTTGCTACAAATAAAGTTTCAAATCAATAATTTTTTGGAGCAAACTAAGGTAAGAATCTGAAATTAAATGTGTTTCCTAATATCATACAAACGTAAACTTGTGTAATTGTTATGTTTGGATATTATAAACAATTGTTTTATTATTGTAGTTGGTTATTCTCTTTGTTTAATCAATATTTTTTTTAGATATAATGATCACGAGGTCTTGTTGGACATCATTATTTTTTTGGACCTTATATCTAGTTTAGTAGACATGTATTGTAACGTTACTGTATCGTCATTAACCTAAAAAGGTCAACAAAAATGAAAGAAAAAAAAACTATGTTTTAGTTTATTGTGATTTCATTTTGATTTAGTCAGTATTTAAATTTATAGTAGATATATTTAGCCTCTGTTTGAGCCATGTTTTTCATATCATCATAATAAGAAAATTGACTATTAAAGAAGAGGATGGATCCCACACATAAAATAACAGGTCAATAAAGGTGACTGGATTTGTGGAACAACGATCCAAATTTTCATTTTTTTGTCCCAAAAATTTGATTTAAACAGGGGCTTAGTGTTTTAGATTTATTACTAATGAAATATAAATATATATTAAATTCAATGAATTAATGACATAAAAGTAGACGGGCAAAAAAATATATGGCGAAACCGGCGATTTAAAACCGACCAAACCATTAGGTTTAGGTTTGAGTTTTTCTCAAACCGTTTAAAATGGTTTGGTTTAGGTTTAGATTTTTCTCAAACCGTTTTAAACGGTTTGATTTGAAAATTTGTCAAAAATCGGTAAAATCGGACCGCTTACATCCCTATTAAAAAGTAGTAAAAATGTTTAAATTTACGTAAAAAAAATTTATTTTATTGTAAGAATGTGTAATTAAACAAAAAATAAGTTCAAGAAAAAAATAATTTTGTTTTAAGGATTGTCAAGCACGGGTATTTGTCAGTTCAGTAGATAATGTAGTCAACGTGTTTAAATTGAAATGAAAGTTTAGTCACTAAATTCGAATTTCTAAAATCAGAGTGAAACAAAACTTACTAGTTGGGTTGCTAACATAAGTTAAACTCTTTTCAATTGGACTGTAAGAGAAACAAAACAGTGTTACAATTTCATCAACTAAGGTGATCAAAAGAATTGATCATCCCAAAGTCTGTCTTACAGAGATTCAAATGCTGATACAATCCCAAATTCAATAATAAAAAATATATATAGCAGATTCACATTAAGAATAAAAAGAAAAAATTACTCAAAAATCATAGAAAATAACTGATTGAGATCATTATTAAAAATACTCCCAAAAAATATAAAAATATTTCTTTTCATTGTACAAAAAAGAAAGAAAATGAACAAATAGTTGCATAGAGACACAGCGTCGAGCTGGCTAATATGCATAAAAATGGAAAATATAACACCACCTTGATGCATTTCCTTCATAAAAACCTAAAGAATTGCACACACTATCACTTTACAAACCAAAAACCTAAACAGCCATTGAAAACCAATTTTTGTTCCCATGCCTGGCATTTCATCACCCTAGAAGCCCCCATGGCCCTCTAAGGCATAGCTATCGCGATGAAACTGAACCGACTTAAACAACAAACGATGACTTTTGTCCTAGCAAATGAAGATAAGCATACAGTAATCTACCGATGAATTGGCTATGAAATTGTATGCACAAGAATATGCAAGTTGATTGACATGCAGAATTGGTCGTGTAGGAAATGACAATAGGATCTTACGTCCAAACTTCAGAATTATCATCATTTGGAGCGTTGATGCAAAAATACGAAGCCTGAATTTTCACGGATTAAAGAGGGAGGTTCCACGTCAGCTACATCTATTTGTGGCATCGACTTGGAGAGGTCATCAACTGAGAACGGAATGCTGCAGTGATGTTTGATTTTGATAAAGCAGAATGAAGTGTTAGAAGAGCTTTTATCATTCAAGATATGTAAGTATTACGTGCAGGTGATATTTAAATTCAAGGAGGCAGGGTTATAACAATTTATGCAGAAAGAATTAATACGATAAAGAACCTCCCTTTTCATTTTTGCAGGTGTGTGTGTGTAGAAACAAATCTATACAAAAGAAAATGGAGAAATTACATTCATGAAACCATATTTGTAATTTGCAGCAACTTTGTCTCGAGATTTGTCACACACAAAAAAAATAATAATAGTAATAAAAATAAAAAATCAAAATAAAAATAAAAAATTCTGTAGCAAATCTTGGTAACGACACTATGACTGATTCGCTTTACATTTTAATGAAGCATTTAAAAGAGTTGCTAACCGCGATAATGTAACAAAAGTTAAAAATTACCTTGAGTCATCGTCTAATAAAAAGGAACTGCTCACTGCATTGCTCGAGTCCTCTGTCATCATAACTCTCATATTTGAAATGACCTTCACGCCAGGAAAAAGATATAAGTGAATCGGGAAACTGAAGACAAATGCTGTGTGAGTGGTGAATTTCTGCACGTATCCAAACAAATGGACATATGAAGACTGAGTTTAGATGAGAGAACTTACATCCGACGAAACACTATGAGTGCCGTATTTGTCATCCCAATACATTGTACTAATTCTGTATAATTGTTGTATGCTTAGAACCTGAGGACAAAGACCAGAAATGTCAAAAAACAGAATTAATTAATAAAAGAATGGCATGAAAGGTGGCTGGGGGGTTTGCTCACAGGGCAAAGTTCATTTGTTATTTCTTTCAATGTCTTCTTGGGCTTTTGATGTATAACCTGAAATGTCAAGAAATTGAATGGAATAATTTAGGTTAGGAATCTGTGTGGCAAGTTACAACCTATAGTTTACATAGAGAAGACAGTGACTCAGATTCTCACTAAAAATCCAACTGCCTGTCTGATATGCTTTAATTCGTCCCAAGCTGAGCCCACGTACTGCACATCAAACGATTTAGGATAGGCACTGAGCTGATTTTACAGAATACTGTAAAAAAATTCAACAGAGCTTACTTCCTCAGTTGCATAACAACACCATTGCTCTAGCTCAGCCAACCCGGCTTTCACATACTCTCCATTACTGAACGAGCAACACTCGCGTCGCAAAAGAAGACTGAAAAGTTTTGGACAGAGAAGCAGGTAAAAAACGTAGGACAGTCACGAAATGCTCTATAAGATGTCTAATTTTACGCAAACCAGTATCACAATAGGTGATGGATTCATTGCTTTTATAAGATGGTCTTACCTGTTGAAAAGTTGGACATTTATAAATGAGAATATTTGAGTGAAAACCTTGCGAACTAGGAAAGGGGGGGCCTGTAATGAATAACAGTAGGGAGTACAACTGAATATGCAAAATGGAAAAGAAAATAAACAGTAAAGTAACAGCTCGAGTAAATTTTATAACTCACGTAGTTAGCTTTCATTATCTTCAAGTAATTGTTTAGACTTTTTACAATGCTCTGCCAATGTGCAATTAGCGCTTGTTGAGCACCAGCATTAGCTTGAGAACGACCTTTCACTAAACTTGCACGAGATGTTCTAGGCGCCTGGATCGAACAATGTAGGTACTCAAAGACAAATAAAGATTTAACTGTGTTTCACTTGGCACAGAAGCAAAGTAAATGAAAAGAATAAGATGGTGTAACTGAAAACCATAAATGGACTTGAAGCTGGCTTTTGAAAATAAATTTAATGAAAATTTTTCCCCTTTCTTCAATAAAGAAAATATATTTCATCAGAAGTTGAAAGAACCATATGTATAATGGTAAGTAGAAAAAAAAGGAAAATTCTTAGCATTTGCAACCCAAACTATAATGATCATCCTAGCATGTATAATTATATAATGCAGGATATACCTGGATGCATAACCCAAGCAAAGGAGAAATCTCTTTCTTTAAATTATCTCTGATCATTCCATAAATCTTCTCCAGGAAAGCAGTGAGCTGCTGTTTGAACAATAGAGCAGGATATTTGGCCTCAACTTGACGCAAGTTATCAAGTCTACCAAGCATTCGACCATTCAGCAATGAAACGGCACTCTGTGGAGATCCCCTCAATCCCTAAAAAATTTGTGACAAGTAGAAAAAAGAAGCATAAGAAATAAAAACATTTAGGCAGCAGGTCAAAGCAAGTAGGCAAGTGAAAGTAAAGTGAGTGCATACTTGTGACATCCTCCCAAAAAGAGAAGCAGATGATGACCTCCGTCGTTGTGGGGTCAAGCTAGCTGCTCCACTTGCTTTGAGTGTGTGTTGAAGCAGCATCAGCAATGTGGATGTATTACATAACCAGTAGGCTAACACATCATTATTATCAGGGACCTTCAAGAAAATAAACGAAATTAGCACTTTCATGAATATATATGCACAAGGAAAAGAACCTGCCAAGTAAAATGACTAATCTTTTCAAACTAATTAAGAAGTCACATTAGAACTAATCAAAGTATCAGCAATTAGATAAGGTAAAGGCATTCTCAACAACTATTCACTTTACCTCTATGGCTGAAGCAATGGTTTGAATTATACGGTCAAACACAGTTGTCCTCTCAACCTCAAAAGATCTCCAGTGAAGAAGGCATTTGTAAATTACACATGCTGCGATTGGTTTGCCACCAGAAAA